GCATAGAGTTGTTTGTGCAAAAACTGTGTTTTTAATGTCTTTGGAACCTCTGGTGGCATACTCTTTCATTCTTGATATTGGTAACTTGTGTTTTTCCTTTTTTAAAATCAGCTTTTCTGAAGACTTATCAATTTTATTTTTAAAGAAAGCTCTTGGTTTGAATGATTTTTCTCTATTGCATTTCTGTTTTCTATTTCATTGATTTCTTTATTATTTTGCTTGCTTTTGGTTTATTTTGCTCTTCTTGGCTATTAGGAATAATGCTGCTTTCCTGTAAACATTCATGTACAAATTTTTGCTTGAACATCACATATTTTCTTCTATTCTGTGGGTTGTCCATTCACTCTCCTGATAGTGTCTTTCAATACGTAGAAGCTTTTATTTTTGATGAAGTCCAGTCTACCTATTTTTATCTTTTGAGCTTGCGCTTTTGGTGTCATATCTAAGAAATTATTGCTAAATCCAAGGTCATGGAGATTTGCCCCTGTGTTTTCTATGAGTTTTATAGATTATGCTTTTATACTTAGACCTTCAATAAATTTTTAGTTGATTTTTGTATATAATGTAAGAGTCTTAACGTTACGCTTTTGCATGTGGATTTTTCTCTTGTTCCAGTGTCTTTTGTTGAAGATACTTTTTTCCTATTGAACAGTCTTGGCATCTTTTTTGAAAATGAATTGGCCGTACATGTGACGGTTTAATTTTAGATTTCTAATTCTATCCCATTAAGCTATATGTCTATCCTTACCTAATACACACTTTTGATTCCTATAATAGCTTTGTGATAAGTTTTGAAATTGGAAAATAGGAGTACTCCAGTTGGTTCTTTTTCAGGATTGTTTTGGCTATTCAGAGTCTCTTTTAATTCCATATAAATTTTAGGACCAGCTTTTCTTTTTGTGCAACAACAGAAGGCCATTGGGATTTTCGAAGGGATTACACTGAATCTGTAGGTCTCTTTTGGCAGTACTGCCATCTGAACAACATTGTTGTCCAAACTGTGAACACAGGATGTCTTTCTGTTTATTTAGGTCTTCAGTTTCCACCAACAATATTTTATAGTTTTCTGTCTTACATGACATTGGATAAATATATTCCTAAGTATTTGTTCTTTTTGATGCTCTTAGAAATGGAATAATTTTTTATAATTTGCTGTTGATGTTTTTTAAAATTTTCATATCTGCTTGGATTTATATGTATGATCTTACTATTTGATTTTAATTTTTTCAAACTATTTTGCATTTTCTTCTCTCTTATATTGCCTTCTTCTTTTTATTTGTTTCCCTCTCTGTTTCTTTGTTAGTTGTGCGTTTCTCTATTGTTTACCCTAAAAATTATGATATGCACTTTTGACTTACAATAGTCTAATAGAAATATTTACTTCAACCATTCCCCCATTAGTGCTCTTCTGACCCTCTACCTTTTCCACTTTATTATTATGCATGTTAATTTTACATGTATTTTGTAGTATTTTAAGATAATGTTATTTTTGTCGGCGCAAAGAGTATTCATTTGTATTTTCCCACAGTCATCCCTTTTGTTGCTCTTAATTCATTTTGAATTTTCATGTTAGAGATTTCCCTTTTGTCTAAAGAATTTTCAAGCATTTCTTTTAGTGAGGTTTGCTGATGACTAACTTTTCTGTTTTTGTCTATCTAAAAGTGTATTTGCCTTCATTTGTAAATAATATTTTTACTGCCTAGAGAATTATAGATTTGCATTTATTTTCCCTCAGCTTTTTAAATAAGCCATCCCATTGTTATCTGGTTTTCTGAAGTCAACTCTGAAAGTTACTGTTGCTTCCTTGAAGGTAATGTCTCTTTTCCACTGACTGCCCTTAACATGTTTTTCTTTGGTTTTCAGTCATTTAAATAATATATGCCTTGCTGAGGTTTTCTTGTATTTATCCTTCTTGCAGTTTGCAGAACTTCTCAAATCTGTAGGTTGTTGTCTTTAATCAGTTTTGAAAAATCCTTACCCATCATCCTTTTATGTATTGCCTCAGCCTCGTTCTGAGCTCTCCTTTTGAGATTGCATTTACATGTGTTAGATCTTTTTTGTGTGTTTTACATGTTTCTTGCGCACTTTTCTGTGCACAGTCTGTGACCCTCTTTCTGTTTGCATATTTTCTATCACCTTGTTTTCTGTTTTGCCAGTCCTATCGTTTGATATCGATAATAAGTCCTTAATTTCAGTAATTATATATTTCAATTATAGAATTTTAATTTGATTCTTATAATAAATTCTGATTTTCTGATATTTTTTTATCTTTCATTTTACTGAAGATGGTAGTCCTCATTACATACAGTCTTGTGTGTTAACTCCAATAGCTGGATCACCACTTGGAATGCCCACTAATTTTTACTAAGTGCTAGACGTCATAAAATATTAGTGAGGTTCCAGGTACATTATATTACTGTAGAAAAGATTAATCCTCTTTTCTGCTTAGTAGATAAATGGGAAAAGATCAGTTTATTTTTATTTATTTATTTAGAGACAGGATCGCACTCTGTTTCCCAGGCTGAATACTTGGTGATCATAGTTCACTGCAGCCTCACTCATAGCTTACTGCAGCCTTGAACTACTGGGCTCAAGTGATCCTCCTGCCTCTGCCTCCCAAGTAGCTGAGACTACAGGCATCTGCCACCATGCCTGGCTTTTTTTTTTTTTTTAAAGTAGGGACAGTTTTGCTGTTTTGCCCAGGCTGGTCTCAAATTCCTGAGCTCAGGTGACCCTCCTGTTATGGCCTCCCAAAATTCTCAGATTATAACCATGTGCCACTGTGTCGGGCCACTAGATCACTTTAATACAGTCAGGAACTGAACTGAGTAGATGCTACATTGCAGTGTTGGTAAGTCCCTCTGATTTGTCTCTGCTACCAGGGTGTTAGTCTTTCAGTACTTCTCAGCTGAACGTCTGTTACGTTGAGTTGCTCTGCAGGGGTTGAACTGTAATTCATGTCTCTTCAGACTGATAAGACTGCCAAAATCTCTACTCTGTTCTTCAGAGGCTTTCTGCTTAGCTTCTTAGTGTCCTTCCCTGTGTAGCTGTAGAATTTTCAAATAGAGAGAAAACTGGCTCAATCCTTCCCACTTCTCACTTAGATCTTGTTTCTTTCATTTCCAATATTGTCTCTATAGCCTCGCAAGACCACCTACAGCTCTGCTGGTTTCTCAGGTTCTCCACCACAGCCTGGGCAAAGCTTGATTCCTAGCCTCTTATCTTACACCCATTTCAACAAATGCCTCCATGGAAAAGTGGCTGTATGTATCAGGCTACTTGTTTGTGCTTTCCTGCTATTTGAATTCTTATTTCCTCCAAAGTTCCTTAGCAGTTCTCCAGTGGCTTTAAATAGATAACTTAAAACTTTTTTTCTCTTTAACTTGTTCTTGATGGAAACATTGGTCTAATACAGAGTACTTTCTTTCTTAGAAATGAAAGTCACATATAGTTTATTGTTATATATCAGTTATTATATTATTTTTATAGTTCTTTGATACCAGTTTCTTTAAGTGACTCTTGATCTTCTAATTGCATTATGTATAGGAGGCTTCTGGAAAATAATATACATCAATGTAGAAACAAATTGATTGATTCATCCACATTATAAAGGCCTGGTGGTAAGAATATCTCTAACAGTTCAAAATCAGCAATGACTCAAACTGTTATATAAATAAATGGGGAAAATATTCCATAGTCCAAAGCCCAGACACGCATCCTTTGGGATATTTTATCTATTCCTGTGGTTGTAATGATTAATTTACTGTGGCTTTATGTTTGGGGCTGCTATTTTTTTTTTTCTTAATATTAGCTTACAGCATTAGCTTTGTTTTATCATATGATTTCACACTATAAAGAACTCTGTTTAAAATGTTTTGTAAAATGTAAAAAGGGCATGGTGGCTCACGCTTGTAATCCCAGCACTTTGGACAGCTGAGGTGGACAGGAGTTTGAGACCACCAGCTTGGGCAACATGGCGAGACCCTGTCTTTAAAAAAAAAATAGAAAAATTAGCCAGCTGTGGTGGTGCGTGCCTGTGAGCTACTCAAGAGGCAGAGGTAGGAAAATTGCTTGAGCCTAGGAGGCAGAGATCATTTCCCTGCACTCCAGCCTGGGTGACAGAGCAAGAAAGACCCTGTCTAAAAAAAAAAAAAAAAACTTTGAAACCAAAATGAGAGACCTCCCATCTTCAGTGCCTAAATTACTACTATGTTATTACTTACCTTTCTTTCCTTTCCCCTTTTTTTCTCCTATTACTTGTTGTCCTCTCTCTCCTGTTGACAAAAGTTAATTGAAGAAGATTTAGAAATTGAAATACTTAAAAGAGTCCAGGTATGGTGGCTCATGCCTATGATCCCAGCACTTTGGGAGGCCAAGGCGGGTCGATCACTTGAGGTCAGGAATTCGAGAGCAGCCTGGCCAACATAGTGAAACACTGTCTCTACTGAAAATACAAAAAATTATCCGGCCGTGGTGGTGCATGCCTGTAATCCCAGCTGCTCAGGAGGCTGAGGCAGGAGAATTGCTTGAACATGGGAGATAGAGGTTGCAGTGAGCCAAGATCATACCACTGTACTCCAGCCTGGGTGACAGAGCGAGGCTCCATCTCAAAAAGGAATACTTAAAAGAAGAAAACTAAAATTTCTTATAATCCTGTCACCAATAGTATCACACTTTTGAACACTTGGTACATGTCTTTTATGGATTTATTCTTTGTAAAATGGATATTGTCAGTGGTCCTCAACCCTGCTTCTTCATTAATATCACCTATAATACCTAAAATATACATATAGATTCTTGGATACACCTCACATTTAACTAAATTAGAATCTTCAAGGGTAGGGCTGGGACGTTTTATTGAAAAAACCAAAAACTCCCCTTCAGAAAATTTGATAACACTCAGAATTTTCTTTTAATAAAAGAGAATGTTGCAGTATTATTCAAAGCTTTAACTTGTTAACAGCTTTTTAACTAATTACTCAATTTTAACTTTTCCCTAGCCATTCCACCCTATGGTGAATCTGGATTGTTCTCGGGATTTCCGGCCTTTTCTTTGTGCTCTGTATGCTCCTATTTGTATGGAATATGGACGTGTCACACTTCCCTGTCGTAGGCTGTGTCAGAGGGCTTACAGTGAGTGCTCGAAGCTCATGGAGATGTTTGGTGTTCCTTGGCCTGAAGATATGGAATGCAGTAGGTGCGAAAATTATAGATTTTTATGCATTATTTTTTATGTTACAATATGTTTAAAATTACTTGTCTTCTTTTCCATCTGTTTTGAAAAAAACTATTTTTGAAGTGTACATATTAGTCATTAATTTTGAACAGCAGTTTTATGGCCTCAGAATTGTTTATTTGCTTATACATTTGGAAGCACTAAATGAAAAAGAAAACATTTCTGTGAAGAAGTTTTTTAAAGACTTAAGAATTACGTACTCAAGGCAGTTGATTTTTCCTCCTTTAAAACATTTTTTCTGATTATGAAAATAGTGGTATTTGTGAAAAATTATACAGAGAAGAAAACCATTTATTACTTCATCATTGCAGGGGCTTAAATACCTTTATGATTTAGATGGAGACTTGTAGGATGGTTCTGTCATTTCTTTTTTTTCTGTCATTTATTAACATACCAAATCCAGAAAATGTCAAATACTCTTCAAATTACATCCATTCTATAGACTATAAGCATGTCTTAAAGTTTTGAAGATTTATTTGACATTCTTAAAGTTTCATATGAGTGAGCATTATTGTTAGTAATAATATTACCACAGAAGGGTCTGGAAAAAAAGTAATATAATATTTTACCTATTTGTATTCTGAACCATTTCAAGGATGAAGAATAAGGTGAATACTTATGTATCTGTTATTATCTAGCTTTGCCCAATTTTAACAGTTTGTAATATTGGCTTCAGATTTTTTTTTAAGAAACAATACAGGTACAGTTGAAGGTTTTTCCTTGTTATCTATCTTGAGCTCATTATCTTTCCTCCCCAGGAGTGAGATAATCTTTATGTTGAATTTGTTTTAAAATCATTCCCATGTTTGATTTTATACTCTTAACTACTTATATGCATATCCATAAACAACATAACATTTTTATATGTATCTGTGTTTATATTTGTAGGTTTGGTACATTCTTTTTAATTGCCATGTAGTAGCCAATTGTATTAAGTTATTTAGCCTTCTCCTACTGATGGTCATTTAGGTTGTTTCTAGGTTTTTGTTATTATAAGCAACATTCTCTTCTCCTTCATATTTAAAAATAATTTTGTTTGTTATCCAGCAGTAGCCCTTGGAGGTAAGTAAAGTGACTGTTACTTGACAGATGGAGAGACTTAGAGACTTCAGAAATAATAAATCATGTACAGTAAGTCCTTACTTAATGTTGTTGATAGTTTCTTGGAAAATGTGACTTTAAGCAAAGTGACATTTAATGAAACCAATTTGTTTTCTTTTCTCTTTTTTTTTTTTTTTTTTTTTTTTGAGATGGAATCTCACTCTGTCACCCAGGCTGGAGTGCCGTGGCATGATCTTGGCTCCTTGCAACCTTCATCTCCCAGGTTCAAGCGATTCTCCTGCCTTAGCCTCATAGATACCAGTTTGTTTTCTTATAAACATTATAACAAAATGACATTGAAAAAGCAATGTTATTTAAAGACCTGCTATATGTTGTCTTGCTTGAAGTCACTGTTCACAAGAACCTATCTATGATATTAAATGAGGACTACTGTATTAACTTCTTATAGTCAATTCATTAATGTTCTGCTTTCTCATATTTGCCTATTTCCCACCTATTTGGCCTGCCCTTTTATTTAGCCTCATCTAACCATTCATCTCTTCTCTCTCCAGACATCTGGAAGTGTTTCTAGTCTCTCTTTTAGAAGTCTGTAAATTAGTGTAAAACAATAATGAATTGCCTGGGCAGGAACCCTGTTTTATGTTTCTTGTATTTAACACCTATTGTTTAGATGTCTTTTTGTTTTAATAGCTTATATATCAGCTTAGAAATCTCATAATCTTTATTTAAAAAAAATTTTTTTTGATAGGATTAAACCTATTTTATGTTCTTGTTATACCCTGAGATTGCCTAACTTTGAAATCTTAAATTCTGACATAGGGAACTTTCATAGCAACCTTTTATTTTTCCATAGCTCTCAGACTTTTGTGCCTACTATACTGGTTGCCTTGGTTATTTGTGCTGCTGTAACAAAAGACCACAGACTAGATAAGTTATAAATAATGGAAATTTATTTCTCACAGTTTGGAGGCTAGAGAGTCTAAGATCAAGGCACAGGCAGGTTGTGTTCCTAGTGAGGGCTGCTCTCTGCTTCCAACATGGCACCTTGTTGCTGCATCCTCCATTGGGTAGGAGCACTATATCCTCCTGTGGCAGGAGAGCGAGAGGGGCAAGCTCACTCTGCAGCCTCTTTTATAAGGATATTAATCCCTTAATCATCGCAAAGACCCCACCTCATTTTTCTTTTTTAGAGATAAGGTCTCACTCTATTGTGAGGCTGTAGTGCAGGGGCACAATCGTAGCTCACTACAGCCTCAAACTCCTGGGCTTAATCAGTCCTCCTGCGTGAGCCTCCCAAGTAGCTGGATTACATGTACGTGCCACCATGTCTAGCTAAATTAGAAAACAAATTTTTTGTAGAAATGGGGTCTTGCTTTGTTGCCCAGGTAGGTTGTGAACTCCTGGCCTTAAGCAGTCCTCCCGCCTTGGCCTCCTAAAGTGCTGGAATTACAAGCAGAGCCACTGCGCTTGGACAGGCTCCACCTCTGAATACCACTGCAGTGAGGATCGTTTCATGAATAAGCATGTCCTCCAAAGTTCATGTGGAAACTTAATTCTCAGTGCACCAGTATTGAAAGGTGAGACCTTTAAGAGATCATGAGGACTTTGCCCTCATGAATGGATTAATGCCGTGATCTCAGGAGTGTATTAGTTATTGTAGGAGTGGGTTCCTGATATAAGGATGAGTTTGACCCCTTCCTCCCTGGCCCCCCATGCTCTCTTGCCCTTTTGTCATGAGATCATGCAAGAAGGAGGCCCTTCCCAGATGTATGCCCCTTGACTTTGGACTTCCTAGCCTCTAGAGCTGTAAGAAATAAATCTCAGGTTTTTATAAATTACCTCATCTCAGGTATTCTGTCATAGCAGCACCAAATGGACTAACACAGCACCTGTTCTAAAAATTCATGGACACCCCCAGAATTTTTATCTTTTTATCCTAAATAGGGCCTTCCTGATCTCATTTATTTCTTTGTTTAGCTTAAATGTTGTGGTCTATCACTTGAAATAACGTATTTGATAGCAGTTTCAACTCATTTTTCCTACTATACTTATTTAGACCTCCAAATAGACTGATTAATTTCTTACAAATTAATTATGCTATTTATTTAATGATTCTGAAATCACAGCAGTTGTATTTTCTATTTGTAACCACTTGTCTTGGTAAGAAAAATTTCCGTTCATTTTCCTCAGCACTTGTGCCAAATCTGTATCACTCACTTTAAACTTGTATTTCACCTTTATTTCCTTTAACCTCAGCCTGTCCTCTTTTCCTGAAAATGATTCAGTCCATTATGTGATCTGTTATTTCTCAGCTCGATCCTTCTCAGTTTCCTTCTTGGATCCTCCTTTTCTTCCTGCCCTTGAATAATGTTGCGTCCCAGAGTTCAGTTCCAGTTCTCTGATTCTACAGCTTTCCCTGGATAATCTCATCTCACTGATTTTAACTCTTATTTATACACTGAAGACTCCTAAATCTAAATCTGTAGCCCCTCCCTGCAAAGCTCAGAACCTGCATATATCCAGCAGCTGTTAAAAATATTTTAACCTGCCGGGTGTGGTGGCTCACGCCTGTAATCCCAGCACTTTGGGAGGCCAAGGCGGGTGGATCACAAGGTCAAGAGATCGAGACCATCCTGGTCAACATGGTGAAACCCCATCTCTACTAAAAATACAAAAAATTAGCTGGGCACGGTGGTGCGTGCCTACAATCCCAGCTACTTGGGAGGCTGAGGCAAGAGAATTGCCTGAGCCCAGGAGGCGGAGGTTGCAGTGAGCTGAGATCGCGCCATTGCACTCCAGCCTGGGTAACAAGAGCGAAACTCCATATTTTTATTATTATTATTATTATTTTAACCTATATCCAGTAGCCATTGGAAATTCTGGCCTCAGTTTATCTCAGCGACCTCAATTTTGGCATATGTAAAATTGATTTTATTTCCTTGCTTACTTTTTTATTCCCTGGAAGTTATCTTCTCTTCCTTCTTCATTGATCTTAACTGCCACATCCAAGTAACGCGTTTTATTGCTTTTAGATAACTAATTTCTTATCTGTCTCATTCTCACTGCCTTATTTGACTTTCATTTTGGCACAGCTGGTATCCCTACCCCCATTTTTGCCTAGCTCAAGTCTGTCTTTTACACTGCTTCTGGTTATCTTTCTGATTACCTGGTTTAGGGTTATATGAATATATTCACTCAATACTCATTAGTTCCACAATTGTCAATTGAATGTCTTTGGTGTGCTAGGCACTATTCTAGATGCTGAAGTTGAGCAGTGAGCAAAACAGAGTTCCTTTTCTTAAGGAGTGAAAACTCTAGTGGTGGTAGTAAATAAATGGACAAAGTCAGATGAAAATAAATGCTAATAAGAACAAATGCAGCAGGCGATAGGGATACAGTATAGGAGACCAAAGCGATTCTGTTTTCTGTAGAGTCCTTGGAGAAGGGCTTTTTGATATGGAGCCTTTGCACCAGGGACTTGAATGAAGTGAGAAAACAAATGATGATACCTGGGGGCAGTCTAGGCAGAGGAAACCGAGTATCAAGTACAGAGAGTCTGGAATGGAAGCATGCTTCATAAATTCACAGAACAACAGGAGACCAAAGTGGTTGGAGCCAAGTGAGGGAGGCAGAATGGAAGGAAATAAGATGAGAAAAGTACTGGGGCTGAGGGTCTGTGTAGCTCTGGTAGGGAATTTGGATTTGACTCTGAGATGAGAAGCCATTAGAGGGTTTTAAGCAGAAGATCACTAACACTGGAGCAACGTGTCTTTAAAGGATTACTTTGACTGTTGTGTGGAAATGGAGAGCAGTTGGAGGCACCTCTAGAAGTCCAGCAAAGAAATATTGATGGCTCAGACTGAGCACCAGTAGGAGAGGAAATGAGAAGAGGTTGGTTTCTTGATACATCACAAAGTAGAATCACAGGAAATGCTAGTAGATTGTGATGTGTATGTGAAAGATAAGGCTCGCCAAGGGTAACCCCAAGGTTTTTGGCCTGAGCAGCTAGAGGTATAGAATAACCACTTACGGAAATGGGGAAACCTGAGGAGTGGAAGTCAAGAATTTGTTTTCAGAAGGTTTGAAGATTGAGGGGCCTATTTGATATCTAAGTGTATATGTTGAGTTGGCAGTTAGATATGCAGGTATATCTATAGATATATTAGTATTGTATAACATGGGAAATATGTAGTATTTGCATGGCTTTAAATTGTATGTTAATACACACACACACACGCACACACAATTTCTGCAACATGCTTACCTCTCCAGTCTCTTCTCCTACCACAAGTTGTAAACACTTTATGTTCCAGCAATACCAAACACACCCTATTTGAACATCTATGCCTATGCTTGTATTTGCTTATTAGACTGCCAATTGGCATACTGCTAATACTGATTTAAAATCCTATATTGGGAGACTTATTCTGTGAAGTCTTTCATCACTCCTTCCCCTTATGTAATTAATCTTTGTCTTTATCATTATCATTTTTGTACCTTATATAGATTTTAATTGCTAGCAGAGCATCACACTGCTATATTTTGTGTATGCTGTGTTTATAAGTATGTGTCTCCTTCTGGATTTAAGGATAGAGATCCTGTATTTTTTATCTTTTTAGCTTCTGGCATACTCAGCGTTCCAGTAAATACTGAAGTGCAATACATTCTGTCATTTGGCTTTATAACTCTCTGTGAAGTAAATGGTTTGTATTAGAAAATTAAAAAGATTTGAAGATATTAATCAGCTACAGCATAAGGTTATGTATGTGTCTGGTAAATATAATGCACTCTATGCTCCTAGTTTCTGAGAAACTTTTTGATGCATATAAAACAGTAAACAGCTAGTTACTGGACTCTAAAGTCTTAGGAACAGAATTGGCAAAAAAAATTGAAGATGAAGACATTGGTCTTAGTTGCATAAATGTCTGCAGCACAACCTTGTTTTCTTTGCCTGGAGGCTATCATACTTTCTCAAGACATAGAACTAGCATTTTTTGCTCAACTGTTGAAAATCTAGTTGTAAGGACCACAAACAAGATATCACCATTTACTTTATTTCTACATCATGTTACCTTTGCTCTCCAGGAATAAATAAGGTTGTCAGTGCCAAATTTGAAAATCCAAATTGTTAGATCATGGTAGATTTCCCTGTAAATAAAAATAGTTCTCATCTTGTTTTGTTTTTTTAGGTTCCCAGATTGTGACGAGCCATATCCTCGACTTGTAGATCTGAATTTAGCTGGAGAACCAACTGAAGGAACCCCAGTGGCAGTGCAGAGAGACTATGGTTTTTGGTGTCCCCGAGAGTTAAAAATTGATCCTGATCTGGGTTATTCTTTTCTGCACGTGCGTGATTGTTCACCTCCTTGTCCAAATATGTACTTTAGGAGAGAAGAACTGTCATTTGCTCGCTATTTCATAGGACTGATTTCAATCATTTGCCTCTCTGCCACGTTGTTTACTTTTTTAACTTTTTTGATTGATGTCACAAGATTCCGTTACCCTGAAAGGCCTATTATATTTTATGCAGTCTGCTACATGATGGTATCATTAATTTTCTTCATTGGATTTTTGCTAGAGGATCGAGTAGCCTGCAATGCATCCATCCCTGCACAATATAAGGCTTCCACAGTGACACAAGGATCTCATAATAAAGCCTGTACCATGCTTTTTATGGTACTCTATTTTTTTACTATGGCTGGCAGTGTATGGTGGGTAATTCTTACCATCACATGGTTTTTAGCAGCTGTGCCAAAGTGGGGTAGTGAAGCTATTGAGAAGAAAGCATTGCTGTTTCATGCCAGTGCATGGGGCATCCCCGGAACTCTAACTATCATCCTTTTAGCGATGAATAAAATTGAAGGTGACAATATCAGTGGCGTGTGTTTTGTTGGCCTCTATGATGTTGATGCATTGAGATATTTTGTTCTTGCTCCCCTCTGCCTGTATGTGGTAGTTGGGATTTCTCTACTCTTAGCTGGTATTATATCCCTAAATAGAGTTCGAATTGAGATTCCATTAGAAAAGGAGAACCAAGATAAATTAGTGAAGTTTATGATCCGGATTGGCGTTTTCAGCATTCTTTATCTCGTACCACTCTTGGTTGTAATTGGATGCTACTTTTATGAGCAAGCTTACCGTGGCATCTGGGAAACAACGTGGATACAAGAACGCTGCAGAGAATATCACATTCCATGTCCGTATCAGGTAAGGGAAACCTTGTTACAAATTTCAGAACCTGTGATAATGAAACAAACATATTATACTATAATGTGTTAATATCAGCTGTTTTTTTTGAAACCTCATGAACCTTCAGCTTGTACATTGACATTTTAAGGGGAAGATAACAAATATGTTATAGTAAATATGTAATACATATATTTGATAGACATCTTCATTTTAAAAGATGACTTACAAATCTACACTATGAGCTTTTAAGCAGTGTGCTTCCATTGTTGATTTTTTTGTTTTTTTCAGAAGTCTACAGGTTTGTGGGGGAGAAGCACTTTACCAGCATTTATTAAAACATGCTGTCTTTTTATTGGAATTTTATTGATAGATTAGAAGTTAATTGTTTTATTAATAGCAGTTTTGCAAAAATAAGATGCAATTATAAAAACTCTTAATGGTCTTGATTTTTCTTCTTTGTATACTGAATATTTTGTGATTTCTTTTTGAGTTTAAAGAGTTCAGAGTCTCTGGTAGTCTTAGAATTATGGAATTTCAAAACTGGAAAGAACTTTAGAGATCATTTATTCAGATTCCCTCTATAATTTAGAGTTCTTAAACATCTAGTCTTTTATTTGAAGCTTTGCAATGTTAAGTTACTTGCTCATGAGTAGTAAATGAACAGCTGGGATTTAGTCTTAGATAAATGTAGTCAAGGAAAATAGATCAGAAGAGTTAATGCTAAGTATTTCTCTGCCATCTTTAGTACTTTTAGACCCTGTGTTTCTACTATTACCGTATCTTCTTATATATATTTATTATTACTATTTAGAGACAGGGTCTTACTAGAATGCAGTGCTGCAATCATAGGTCACTGTGACTTCAAACTCCAGGAGCTCAAGCAATCCTCCTGCCTCAGTCTCCCAATTAGCTAGGACTACAGGTACGCATCACCATGCCCAGATAATTTTTTATTTTTAAGAGATGGAGTTTCACTATGTTGCCCACGCTTGTCTCGAACTGCTGGCCTCAAGTGATCTCCCTCATGGACTTTTCCAAATGCTTGTCTTATAGGCATGAGCCACCATGCTAGCCTGTCTTCTGTCTTTTAAAACAATTTTTCTTAGAAGAGTACTCTAATGTCATGTCTCCTGTTCATCATTTTCCAGACTTCCTATTACAAAAGTACACAAGCTACGTTGCCATCTCCTCTAACTTTATGTTACTCTAATATTTTTAACCACCTTTATTGAAGTACTTAGGTATTACAGAGAACTTTTGTTTACTAGTCTGTTTCCCCTTCTACTAGACACAGTGAACTTTTTTGTTTTTTGAAGACATTCTGTTTTCAAAACAGATTAGTAGATGATAGTAATGAGAATGTGGGTATATAGATTGAGAAAAGGGGACATTTTTAAGACATGGTGACAGAAATGTACATTTAAGAAATGTAATGGTTACTGCTACAAGGAGTATGGGATTAGCACATAATAAGTGCTGATACATTTTTGATCACTGAGAATGCCAATTTCCCTTTTATTTTGGTATAAATTATCCTATACAAATGATCTTTTATCATTGTATAATATTTGCTACTGATTTTTTAAAAATAAACCAACTTGTAACTTAGAGACTAGAAAAAGATAATAATTGAAATTCCATTCAATTTCTTGCCAGAATTGCTTACTAAAAGCTCTAATATCGGTTTTCAGACCTAAAGGTAAATAGTCAAATTTTGTCTCAGAGAGACATGTTGAATTATATTTTAGGCTTCCCCATGTCAGTTTTCTAGGATTCCAAATTATTATTATAGGGCTATTGAAGAAACAATGTTTAACAATGAAATAATGGTCTTAAAAAATATCATACCTCAAACGTATTAATTAGTAGAGTAGTTGGGATGCTGCTTTTTTCAAAACATTCCTAGAATTCTTTTAGCATCTTTAGAACCAGTTTGAGGTTCTAAAGATACATACATATATTTCAATATACACTGAAATATATGTATGTGGGGTGGGGAGGAGGGGATTAATAGTGTTTTTTAAGAAATATTTCCAACATGCAGAAATGAATAGCAAATAATAACTTAGTTATTAAACTATAAGCTGGAGTAGAAGTCCTAGCTCCTTTTCTTACTATCATTAATTACTTAGCTTTATAACCTTGGATGAACTTCACCTCTCATTGCTTCAGTTCCTCATAGCATGAGGATAGTAACAGAATCTGTCTCCTAGGGTTGTTTTTAGGGTTATGCATGTAAGTACTTAGAAGTGTGCTACTAGTCTATGGCCACCCCATCCTGAATGCTCCCAATATCTTCTGATCTCAGAAGCTAAGCAGGGTCAGGCCTGGTTAGTACTTGGATGGGAGAAGTGTGGCTACTGCATAATAAGTGCTCAAATGTTGGCTCTATACTTACTTGCTGTTGCCTATTTATTATTGTTGTTCCTACCATTATTTACATATATACACATGTATAAATATGTTTTTTTAAAGCCCTCTGGTGCTAAGCTTTATAAAATGCAATATTTGCTTCAGACTTTTTAAAGTCATATTATAGATTTAGTTGGAACTTCAGTGTACTCTTCCCTAATCCTGTTCCTCTTACTCACTCCCGAGAGATAGCCATCATGGTGAATTTGGAGTTGTTCATTCCCATGAAAGCCTATACAATTGCCAATACATAGGTAGTTATAAAAAAATGTTTGTTTTACCCAGTATATAAATTATATCACACTCTACGTATATATCTTTGACTAAATTTTTTAACTCAAGATTTTGTTTTTGAGATGCATTTATGTTAATATTGCAACTCCATTTTTTAATGTTTCCTTTTACTAATATAAAAGTTTATAACATGTTTCAAATATATGGAGATGTAGAAAATAGATATCCATGTACTCACAACGCAACTACCTGTATCTGTCTGTTTACCCTTGTATCTAGTATTAAAAATACAGTTGATACCTCCTCTGTTCCTTTCCATATTCCCATTTCTCTTCCATTTCCCTCCCTAGAGAAACCCTTCTCATAATTATGCTGTTTTTAATTCTCCTGAATATTTTTATACTGTTGCTGAGTGTTTATGTATCCATAAAATTTGCTGTTAGGCAAGTTTTTTAAATGCATGTAAGTGAGATTATTCTGTAGCTCATTTTTTAACTCAGTTTTCTGTTTTTGAGAATATGCATGTTGATATGTGTACTGATAATTTGTTTTAAATGCAGTGGAGTATGTTATTGTATATTTATTCACTCATCTACTGATGAATTATATAGTTGTTTCTAATGTTTTGTTATAAGCCATTTTTCAGTGATTATTCTTGTAACATCATCATTCCTTACATATAAACAAGAGTTTCTATTGGAATTTTTGCATTGTAGGCAATAAGCATCTTCAACTCAAGTGGTTATTTTAATTTATACTTACACCGGAGTATGAATTTCCTCTTTGTCCCCATTTTGGTACTCTCAGGCTTTTAAATTTTTGCCAGCCTTTGAAATAATATCTCAATTCTGTAGTAATTTACCTTTCCCTTAAAGGTTGAATGTGTTTTGGTATGTTTATTGGCCTTTTGGGGTTTCTCTGTGATTTACCTATTTGTTATCTTTGTCCATTGCTCTGTTAGGTTATTTGCTTTTTACTGTTTAAATATTTTTGTTATTAAGTCTTTGTTAGTCATTTGCATTACAGATATTCTGCTTTGTGTCTTGTCTTTTCATTTTGTTTGTGCTTTCTATTTTGTGTTTTAAGGTAATCCTTCCCTGTCACTGAAGTCATTAAAATAGCCTGCTGTATTTTTTCTATCAGTTTCTACAGTTTGCTTTTTTGATTCATATCTCTAATTCCATAAAATTCATTTTTGTGAATGTTCTAAGGAACATAATTTTATTTTTCCATGTGGACATGTGCTTTCTCCATCTTTATCAAATAGTTATCTTCATTGTAATGCAACCTCAGTCATGCTCAAGTTTCATTTTTAGACTCTCTCATTTGTGTAAACATGTGTCAACTCCACATCTTCCCTACCTGGTTCTTCTTCTTCAAAACTATTTTAGCTATTCTTGGTACTTTGCTCTTCTGTATGAATTTTAGAATTAGTGTCCATGAAAAACACTGTCAGGATTTTGATTGAAATTGTTTTTGATTTATAAATAAATCTGGGAAACATTGCCATTTTTGCAATAGTGAGTTTTAATATATTCTTATTTATTTAAGTTTTATTCATTAAGTTGGTTATTTGTAGTGTACAGGCATGCCATTTAAAAAAGTTATTTATTTATTGTGACTTGCTGTATTGCCCAGGTTGGAGTGCAGTGGCACAGTCATAGCTCTCTGTAACCATGAACTCCCAGGCTCAAGTGATCCTCCTGCTTCATCCTCCCAAGTAGGTAGGGCCACAGGCATGTGCTACCATGCTTGGCTAACTTTTTTCATGTTTTGTAGAGATGGGGTCTCCCTGTGTTGCCCAGGTTGGTCTCAAGTGATCCTTCCACTTTGGCTTTCTAAAGACTGGGATTATAGGTGTGAGCTACTGTGCCTGGCCTGATTGATTTTGTGTATTGGTTTTATCTCAGACATCCTTGCTGAACTCTTATTAGTTCTGTTTGTGTATACATTTTCTTAGATATTCTTTCTAGAAATCCTGTTGTTTGCAAACAGGGACAAATTTGTCCCACTTGCTCTCCAGTTATTATATTTCAGATAAGAGCTGTCTACTCTTGGAAAGTATTTGTGCATCCTACTGTGAAACTCTGTCCTCATATCTTTGAAGTAAAAGGAAAGAAGTTGGTTAAGAAAGTAGGTTTTTGTAAGTTACTATTTAATCTCTTTAATACGAATGGTTGTATTCAGGTCTTTTATTCTTGAGGCATTTTTGGTCATTTATATTTTTCTGGAACATTATTTCATCTACCTTTTCAAATACATTGGCATAAATTTGTTAATTTTTAAAATGTTTTTACCATTTTAGTTTTTGCTCCTAATATGTATGTTCTTTTTTTCCCATGATTAGTCTTGTTAAAGGGTTATTCCTTTTT